GGTTATGAAGGTTTCGCCCCATTGCAGGTTCCATCCATACGATCTTTGTCAGATTGGCCCCTTAGGTAAAAGATATTAAAACATATTCCTTTTCTATCGAAATGATAATATATTTCGATCAACATGGAATTTAAAGCGAAACCAGAACAAAGTTCGATCAACATGCAAATGTTAAGTCGTGAAAATTAACGCACGAGTAATGCCATGCCGCTTTATTACTCTTATTTTTATTTCGTTTGAAAATATATTTGGATTAAAATGTTCACTTAGTTAATTCAATAAACAAACTACGTGTTCTCCTGTATTTTTCCATAAGAAATTAACTTTTAAAGCAGTAAAATTTGTACTTCATGTTGATTGAAAAGTTCAGAGTCTTAAGAGTTTGGGACAACTTTGTTGCAGGGTAAATTACTATTCTGTATTAACGCACCCCTTATCGTTGTATTATCTACCGAAATATATGGACCAAGAAACAAAACAATAAGGGCCTCAGTTAATTGTGTGGGCATACATGCATGAAAAATTGGGTTCAGTTCATTAAAATAAACATATGAAATTGATTTATAAACTCGCAGTATCGTCGCTCCCAAATTGGCTCCGTATTTCTCAACAGATAGACAGCCATATTGTGAACAGGTTTTCAAAGTTTATGATAATTTCTTTACGAGACATTGTACAATGCGATCAAATGATGTTAAAAACAAACTTCAACCTGGAACTTGTCCATTGGATGTCGGTGAATGCGTGCAAGAAAATACTAGTTGTGTTCAACAATGATAACAAACAATAACGAAGCAAAATCACCACAGTCAGTTATTCACCGGTTGAGCAACATATTAAGCAATTTCTGGCGTCGATCGATTCTCAAGATGCGCTTCCTTTTAACAGCTTATTTCATCGCAAATGTCCTCGCGCTGTTTGCTATTTTAATCCACGCCAGACAACAATCCTGTACCGCCAATCACTGCGGTGAGATCAGCAAAGACATTAAGACGCTTCGAACCGAAGTAAAAAATCTCGTTGCGCTGGTAAGGGATGCTTTGCCTCCAAAACTTCCAGGTACTTTTTTTGCGATGATATGTTAGGGTACATCTATTAGTGTTCTTATTTTTCAAGTGCTCTCGATGAGCTCAGATCTTAAAATCACAGTCTTATCCTCCTCAGTTTGTCCCTTCTCTTCTTGCAAGGAGCAGTACGACATAGGGAAGTAAGTATTTAGTAAACTGTTTTAATTGCAAGATTTCAAAACGGTCGCCATGATAATTTTTACAGTCAAAGGACCCTGCGCTTGCTTGCAAGGTGACTCCTTCCGATATATTTTGATTATTCCATTTTCATAAGGTCGAGACGAAGCCAAGTGTATCCGCTAATGTTTGGTTCACAAAAGATTTCTGTTTACTGTCACATGGGAAACTTTGGATGTGGTGGTGGAGGATGGACGCTGGCCATGAAGATTGACGGCGCAAAGGTAAACTCTCTGTCTCCTTTAGGAAACTCTAGATATTATTAAGAGGCCGTGACTGTAAATATCGAGAATTGCTGGCCAGGCTAAAAAGAGCGAAAATTCTGATAACTTGCCTGGAAAACCCTTTTAGGAAGATATATTCAAAAAAAATATTTCAAAGTTTGAAAAATAAAATGTGTCCGAGGAAATGGGGAAAAACGGAAATTCGGGCTTTTACCTAATTAATTATGCAAAAAATACAGTAAAATTGAGCAACTTTAGCGTGCTAGTACTAAAGGAGGATGTTTCGTAAGAAATAAGGGGTGTTTTTGCTTCAAAGTATGATTAATGTGACTTTTATATGTGGCATTTTGAGGAGCTTTGGTTTAATTTTAGAATTCACATGATTTTTTAACTAAGTGCTGTCAAATGCTTGTTGCAAAAAGCGAAAAATCGACCAGCTTCAAACCTTCAAAACGTGTCTTGGTATGTGTGGCATCATGTCAAACTACATGCTGGCACAAGGTTTGGTCCTTATAATAAAATACTATGTAATAAAAAATTTGGGTAATTCAGAAACGTGCCGGCAAAACATAAAGCTTTGCGACACACTGTGGCCAGAGGTCACGAATTTGCATGATGCAAATCAGTTGTAGAAATCGTACCGCCTAACGGTTCTGGTGTAGGAAGGGCTCTTTTGACGGCTTCAACATAAAATGTACAAGAATAATGACCAGTATTTAATAGCGTTTAATTCTTTTTCAAGCCAATGAGGTTTTTGTTTTTTATCTCGATACTGTCTTGAGGAAAAGCAAAATGTTTCAATTGCGTGACAATTGTCACGTTGGATCAAAGGTGAAGTTGCCGAGTAAAGCGGACACGATCCTTTATTTCGTCAAAACTCCATTCTAAAGCATCCAGTCCTATATATCTCGTTTTAAATTATTTGTATAAACTCTTTAATGAGTCTTTATCGAACAACATCTCGCCGGCCTGATCCTGTTTGACTTCAGGCTGACTGCCAAGTGCGGTTCGAAGGGGACTTTTTCATTTCCGGTTTGCGCCTTTAATACGGGGACCGCGGAGCTATGGGGTTGAGTGGGCTGTAGCCCCACCAAGAACAATTTATTATTATCATTATTATTTATTTTAATCTTTGTAATTAAAAAAAAG